GGGTGACCCTGCTTCGGCAGGGGGTTGGACTGGGTGATCCCCAGAGGTCTCTTCCAACCCCTAACATTCTGTGATTCTGTGATTCTGTGTGATCTGGGACCACACCTGTTAGCCAGGACTGCTGATAGACGACGGAGAGAGGCTTGGCCAGCTCCTCTGCCAGTTCCCTCAGCACTCTCAGGTGGATCCCATCCGGCCCCATAGACTTGTAAGTGTCCAGGTGGCATAGTAGGTGGTTATCTGCTTCCTTCTGGATTATGGGAGGTTTGTTCCGCACTCCTTCCCTGTCTTCCAGCACTGGTGGCTGTCTACCCTGGGCATAACCAGTCTGACTATTAATGACTGAGGCAAAGGAGGCATTAAGTACCTCAGCCTTTTCCTCATCCTTGTTGACAATGTTCCCCCCCGCATCCAATAAGGGGTGGAGAAGCCACTGCTTGGGTAGTGTTGGACCAACATTTCTGCTAAAACTTAGCTCAGCCCAGCGACACCTCTTGTCCTGTCCCTATTGCATGCAAACCCCCTCCTGAACACCACACCGCATTGTCCATTTGTCCTTCCCTCGCTGGGTGTCACTGCCAGGCAGGGAGGACCTGGCCAGAGGACCAGTAAGACCAGCAGAGCATGGATACTGGGTTTGGCTGCAGCTCACTGGGTGAAGTCAGGCAGGGTTTGGTTGAGTTTTTCTCCCCATGGGTCCGGGAGAAGTCAGAGGGAGCACTGAGAAAGAAAAGCATAAAAAAAAAAGTGTAATAAAAAGAGTATTATAACCAAGAAATCACATAATATTATTCCCTTAAAACATTTTCTCAGTCTTCCACCCTTGGTTTGCTCAAGGACTTTCTAAGCCAGAATCTATGATTTAACAGCCCTTGCTGAATGCATCTACTCCCCTTTGTCACTGCAAGAGCACGGAAGAACACTCGGCATCGTCAACATCCCGCAGCAAGGAGCTCCCCAGGTGAACCACAACAGTGTGAAGACCTCCCTGCTCCCTGCTCGTTTCTCTGGAAACTCCCTGGTTAGCCCAAGCAAATCCTATCCCCCCTACCCATGCCACTCCTGATTTTGTACTCTGTTATGTCCCCCATCTGCCAGCTTTTTTCCCACCTAAAGACGCCAAATGTGTTTGCTTCCTTTCATGGAAGGCATTTAATTTCATACCGCCGAGAATGAGCTGATTTGTTCCTAGCAGAGTGGAAGCTAAGCATCGTGAATATTGCCTTTGCCATCCTGTACGCTGGTGTCACGAGGAGCTGAGCTGAGCTTTTGGTCTGAGCACGCACAGCTCTATGCTCCCACAGACCTCTCACTCGCCCA